CTCATTAAAGCTGCAAGCTGCAAGTGACAGTGCAAGTGACAGTGCACACTTCATAAAATATACCCTAGTATTCACGATTTCATTACATAACATAACCTTCTCATCCTCCAACTCAAGAGTTCTCAATTCAATAGTCCACAGTTTTATTTTACGTTTTAAAAAATTCTAATACAGCGACAAAATAAGGCCTGTGTCATTCACTAACCAAAAAGTTTGCAGTTGTAACACTGTACTCATACTTCCAGCTCTTTTTGACCAGACAATGAGTATTGCTTGTGAACTAGTAAGCACGGTCAATGCAAGTGTCACCATTGACCTAAACTCAACATGAATGGAAATGAAAAGTGTAGCTCCAAATAGTTTAAAAAAGTATGCTTGGAAAATAAATATAAAAAAGTAACCAAGCTCTTGTTCCTACTTGCGTTTCCACTTAGATGGGTCACCTGGGCTTGCCCCTGCTGCGGCCATGATATTAAGAGAGCCTGCATAATCGAAACTCAATACTTACCCACATAAATTAACCAGGGAAAGCAGATCCCCCACCTTACTCCCAGAAGTGCTACCAAGACATCCAATCCAATTATAATTAATATAAAAATGTACCCGACCTGAAACAGCTTTCGTGGGTAAGCTTTCAATATCATTAGCAGATGCCTAGGCCTGTCAATGGGTCGGGTCCGGGTCGGGTCCGGGTCGGGTCCGGGTCGGGTCCGGGTCGGGTCCGGGTCGGAACGTAGTGTTCCAGACTCGGACCCGCTAAGTTAATAATGGACCCGGACCCGACCCGTTTACCCGGCGGGTCTGAAAATTTGGACCCGGGCCCAAACCCAACGGGTCTCGGAATTGGGTCGGGTAAACCCGCCCGCCAAGTATGATACGCACACCATTATAAACTTTGTGAAAATAGCAAGACATGTATGTGAAATATACTGCAAAGTGTACAAATTTAAAAACAAATTATATCTTCACTTTTCAAAAAAATCAAGGTCTCTCATAGAAAATTAGTTCTTTTATGTAATAAAGTATCGATTCTTGTACATGCATATAGCTCCACACTTTGCGCTGCTTTCTATCGCACAAAAAACATGTAGAATAAACTAGAAATTAAGTCATAAAAAGGTCTCTTGGACTACTAAGAGTATAAAATCATATGTAGTATTATATATGATAATGATATAATAATAATATTAATAATAATAGTAATAAATATTAGTTTTAGGGTATATTACTATCTTGATCAATATCACTTATATACTCCGTAGTATTTATGTATTAATGTGTATATTTTTATTGAATAATCACAAATTCACAACTAATAACTTTATGTATTATTATGTATATATGTATATTAGTTTCTATTTTATTTAAAGTGTTATAACTAAGCACTTTATGTTTGAGTGTATGTGTATACAAACAAGAAATTTTAAACGGGTCTGGGTCCTTAACGGGTCGGAATCATATGTACCATACCCGACCCATTTATTTAAAATACTAACGGGTCCGGATCCGGATCCGGTTAAACGAAATAAAATATAGACCCGTACCCATTAAAAATAACCGGGTCCGGGTCGGGTCCGGGTCTAGACCCGACCCATTGACAGGCCCCGCCTCATGCTTGTCCTAACAGAGGGTTCAGTATTGGACAAATTTTTTGAGTAATTAGTATTTTCGTTTTAGATTCCTTATAGGTTGGTTGTAGGAGTAAAAGTTAACCAAAGAGAGATATGAAACTGCAAATGCTTGAAATGAATTGTGAACAAAAGAGAGAGAAATAAAAAACCTGATCTTTAATTCTCTTGTACTCCATCGACAGAAGTATTCAAATTTCTCTCTTTTAACCCACTATTCACGAGCATGGAAAGCACACAAATGTGCCTAAGGCCTTGTTTGGTTCAAAGGAGGGGAGGGAAAAGGAGAGTCAAGGAGAGGAGGGAAGGGAAGGGGAAGGAAGAATTTTGATAAAAATTTGTGTTTGGTTGGAGGAAATAGGAGGAAAGGTTTAATGAAAATATTTTCGCAATTTACTTTTATTTGATAGCTTACTTAAAAAAAATAGATACATGTCTAACTATTATGAATATTACTCCTATGGTCATGAGTCATAATTTTATTTTATTTTATTTTTTACTTTTTTAATTTTATAATTTTTCATTTTTCAGTCTGGAATTTTTAATTTTTATTTTTATTTATTTATTTTTTTTTATTTTTAATTTTTAAAATTTTTAATTTATAAATTTTAAAGTTTTTAATTTATTAATTTATTAATTTTTTAGTTTTTAAATTTTTTAATCTTTAAATTTTTAAAATTTTAAAATTTTTAATTTTTCAAAACTTTTGTTTTTTACCTCTTTATATTATAACGTTTTATTCATTCACGTAGGAGATGGATAGTTTGTAGTTATCAACACGTTTCCTCCGAAATACCCCGATTTGGGGGTTTAGAATGCGAGAAAGTGGAGGATTTTGAAAGCCTTCCAGTTTCCTCCCATTCCCCCTCATTTCCTTCAACCAAACACACACAAATCCTCCACTTTTCTCCCCTCCCCTCCGAAACCCTCCAACCAAACAGGGCCTAAATGAACGAAGGCATTGCAGGAGGTGAGAGCCCGAGTGAGAGACAACATATATCATCTTACCATAAGAATGGATGAAATGAATTAATGAAATACCATAAAAGAGCCTGTACATTGTACAGGAAGATGACTTGTTGATGCTCTCTCCAACGGGCTACAACTAAGTCCTGAATCTAGTCTAGAACTAATGCAGCATCAACTAGATCGCGCGCATTGATTTTATTTTTTATTATTATTAGGTTCTTCCAATCCAGTTTAATCGGAAAATCCCCGAAACATGAGTAAAAACGTTTTAAAATTTCAAAATATGACTATCATGTGTTTATTTCATAAATGTGAGTAATTTCTATCAAGTTTGATATTACCTGATTTTAAACATGACAGTTTTTTCCAAACTTGACAGAAATTACTCGTAATTAGGAAATAAAAACATGATGATCCTATTTTGAAATTTCAAAACGTTTGTACTCTCATTAAGAGTTATTTCTATTTTTTATTTAGCGGTGCACTGAATTGAATATGAGTAGGGGTTTTCCCTAAATATCACTGAAATCGATTCCCAAAAAAGTTACTTCGTATTACTTTAAAATTATTTGACAAAAATATGATTAACAAGGTTATATATATATATATATATTTTTGAATATAAAAGAGCGCCTTTTCATAATAATATCAAGAAACCATACAAGACATCCCCCAAACGGTTAATCATGGGCCTAAAGACTTAGCAAGTTACCAGGCCTAAACCAATTTAATGTGCATAATGTGTCTGCTCCGCTCGATCTTGTATCCTCGAGCTCGATCATGCAGGCCTAGCCTTGATGATGTTGACCTCGCCCTAAGCCATGTTGGACTCGGCCTCGTACATGTTAGGCTCGAGCTCGACCTCGACCTTGGTCGTCTTCTCCTTGAGGCGACCGGAGATGAGTTGAAAAGGAGTAAGATAGTCATCATTCAGTTGTATCTACACATTAATGAAAGCATCAAATGTGGAATAGGTCTCACCAATGGACTGACGATGTTAGACCATGATGTTGGTCTCGGCGTAGGACCGCAACCCAATGAGTAAGTGAGTCAGTCTCACTGCTTGAAAAGAGTGGTCTCAACTTTCCAAGTTAGGCTTCAACCCGACCTCTGGAGGAAAGATAGAATCTGTGAGCTATGATTCAAACATATGACCCTGCCCCAAAAGAACTAAAGTATATCGGTCCTTCTCAAGATTGTGAATGCCAATTAAGTGACAGAATTGCTCGATAGAGCGTGGCTCGAGGTCGATAACTAGAGGTTGACTCGCCACCCAAGATTCAAAATTCGAATTCATGAGTGGTGATCGAACGTATCACCCCCCCCCCCCCCCCGAGGTCGAAGTGTGATGCATTAGGGAGAGCAAAGGAGCACACAAGAACTAATAAGCAAGCACGAAGCCAATGGTGTGAGGGGGCTTATGAATCGACACACTCGATATGTTTTGACTATTGGGCATAGCGTGAGAGTACTCGGATGATGTCTATATGTGGTTCACTCTTGATTTGAGTACATTAATTATCAATCTCTCTCTATTGTTTATCATTAGAACAATTCCCTCTTGATTTAGTCTGATTCTTTACCAGATCTTCTGCAGATTAAATGAACATGAGGGAGCTCTCTTGCTCGGAATTATGAACGTAGGAGACTAGGAATTATGAACCTGAGGCCCGGGTCCGGGTCGAATGCTTTATAGCCGAAACGGGATTTTTCGGGGCAGGCTTCAGGTCGCAATAAAATGAACCGGCCGGGCCCGATTCGGGCCATTTTTTTTTTTGTTTTTCAAAATCTTTGGGAGGTAAATGGGTTGGGTTGGGTGTTTTGGACGGGTTTGGGTATGGGGGGTGGAGGGGGTAGGAAGAAATTAGAAAACAAAAAAAAATGTACCCAACCTGAAACCGGTCCGACCTGGCCTGACCCGACCTAGGCCCGAACCAGACCCGGTAGCTACCTGGGCCGGTTCCAGGTCTCAACAAACCCAAACAAAGCCCGGTCAAGCCCGACCCAACTCCATCCCTAGATGTAGGGAAATATTTTTGGATTAAAAAATTGATTTTATTTTTTTATCACAACATTTGGATGTAAAAAATTAAAATTGGGTTACAAATTTGACTTTTTCTGTTATTAAAAAAGTAAATCTTTTATATTAAACTTGCATATAATTATTAAAGAATTATTTCATAAATTATTGTTCTACTTCTTTAATAAATCTTGGCAAGAGATCATGCTTACATCGTAACATCAACATCAACATCTCCCATCACGCCATTCCTCTCTTTTGGACCACTTTTTTTCTTATTCTAGGGAGTCAATTGGGATAGATTTATCCACTCCCCTCCTAAACCCCACTTTCCCATTCATATATCACCCTCATATACAAGTATACAACCAAAATAGCTTTAGCCTTTAGGTTGTGATATGCTTCGAATAACCTGTGTGGACATCCTCGGCACAAATGTATCCAATTGACTGTGTAGCATATTAAGAGTCATCAAGTCACAAATACAATATGCAATGTGCGAGTGTTTTGAGAGCACGTGTGTGTCATTTAACCCACCATACTCAGACTCAAACACAATTAATGAAGATTTTCTATTCAAATAGTTGCTGGGATGCGTTGAAACCAGCTCACCAGACCGAGTTTTCTTTCTATCTAGAAATAAGGGATACAAACATACAACATAATACAATGAGATCATCGATGCAGCAGCATGGCAGTGGTGAATTGTGAGCCAACAGAGGACATTATCTCTCTCCTCAACCTTCCTCTCCGAACTCTTTCGTAAACCTCTCGTGCACATCAAGATCGGCTTTGCTAACAGTTGGACGTTGACGCGCAACCACCTTATCAAAATCTGTCTTTGTGATGGGCGGTGGGATGATCTGCAAGCAAACATGGCAAGCTGAAATGTCATTTATTTATCTAGTGATAGTATAATTGAAGATACTCAAATGATGATGAATTGAAGGTTGCATACATCCGACCCCCCCCCCCCCCCTTTTCCCCACCGTTGGTGGGAGCCTTTGCGGCACTGGGGTAATGATGATGAATTGAAGATACTCAAATGGTCCCTCCATAGAAGGAAGACACAAATGAGAGGGGTTTTAACCCACTTGGTACCAATATTTTGGAAGTCGTACCAACATGGTACCTATTTTTTACTTTGTGTCTTTTTGGTACCAACTCTTTGATTTGTATCTAATTTTATGAGACCTTTTATGAACTATGTCATCATTGAGTACATGTTAGTGTGTGTACATATTAGTATAAGTAATACGGAGTAATATATTTTAAATTTTAAAGAACAGCAAATTCTATATGGATATTCCCATAGATGTCTATGGAAAGGTAATTAAAAATCAGAATATCTATTTTTTTGCTTTCTATACTCATTTCTCAACTCGACTATGTGAGAACAATATATACCTCTGAAGCAAGCCCTTTCGCAGCAAGCTCCTGCATTGTTATCTGGACGGCACCTGGTTGTTTTGGTCCACATGGCATCCATGTACCACTGGAAGTCTTCATGAAGAACATTGCATCTTGTGTTTTGCGCACAGGTTCAAAAAGGACATCCTTAACCTATTGTGATAACAAAAAATATAAACAAAAATACAACCAATGGACAAATAATTTGCAGATACGCCAACATATATTAGACCATACTTACACAAACGGATATATCTGAACCAGAAAACCCTTCTGTTTTACGAGCCAAATCTTCAAAGTCACTTTCACTCAAATTGTGAGGGGTGTCTCCTAAATGAACCTAAAGATGTAGGAACAAGGCATGCAGAGTAAGGTCCAGTTTGGAATTAATGTTATAAAGTGTTGTTGAGCTGTGTTGTGGAAGAGTCAGTTTGAGAGGTTATGTTATTAAGTGTTAGGAATGTCGATGTTTGGTACTATGTGTTGACTTGTGACTTGAGAATGTCTTTTTATTAAACTAAAATATGGACTAACTAATAATTATGACAATAGATGGGTGCTGTAGTTTGAAAGCATCTTTTGACTGCAGGTAGCTCTCAAACTACAAAAGTTTTCTATTTTACCTAATTTGGAGCAAAATGCGTGGTGGATTGAAGGTCACATAGCAATACCAAATTGACACTAAGTTTCCAAGGCCAAGAAAAGAAGAGAATATAAACACTTTCACCTTGAACATGTGTTGGCGTGCCTTCATATCTGGGAGAGGAATGTATATCCTTTTATCAAATCGTCGCCGGATTGCCTCATAAAAGAAAAGAAAACATTTTAAAAATAAAATCAAAATGGGTATGATATTACATTTTGTAACTATCTTCACCTGATCAAGAGCATATGGAGTGTTTGTGGCTGCAAGGACAAGAACTTTATCATCATTATGTCCAACACCCTATACATATAATGTCCATGAGAAATATCATTTTCATACCAAGTAAATAGTAGAGTCAATTCCCTAAATAGCACTAAAAAGTGGCAAAATTGCACAAATAGGACTACATTTTTTAAATCCCCCAATAGGACTATTTATGTGTGTGGACAAATATACCCTTGTAGCTTTTGAAATGTTTAATTAATAATAAAATCATAAAAATATCATAAAAAGGTATGGCATTTTCTTGATTTTTTCAGAAAAATATGGCATTTTTTTACAAAATGTGGCAGAAATTTCACCGATCGGAGGTGGTGGTGCTGGGAGGCGGTGGGAAAGGTATCCATATTTTTTATGGGTTTTTACTATTTTTTACTACGTATTATTTTAAAAAAAAATAAAAAAAATTATTTGATAAATATTTTATTAACTTGTAATTTTTTACGATTTTTTTTTTATTTTTTACGATTTTTTTTTATGATTTTATTATGGATTAAAGCATTTCATTATGAATAAATACCCTTAGGGGTATTTAGGGTAGAAAATCAATGTTTAGTCCTATTTGGGGAATTTAAAAACTAGTAGTCCTTATTTGTGCTTTTTAGGGACTCATGAGTCCTATTTAGGACAATTTCCGTGCACAAAATATTTTTTCTGGACAAATACAAACTTGATACATACTAAGAGAAGCCCTAATTTAAAACATTAAACGTAAGTGCACATTTTCTTTTCTTTCCTTCACATTGATTTCTTCCCCCCATTCGGGAAAGGGGTGGGGAGGGGAGGGGGTGTTAGGGCATCAGTTACCTGCATCTGCACAAGTAGTTCTGTTTTTATACGTCTGGAAGCTTCACTTTCATTCCCTTCCCCACGCTGTCCACACAAGGAATCAATTTCATCTATGAATATAATAGAAGGAGCACTTTCACGAGCCATTTCAAAAAGGTTAGAGACAAGCTTTTCACTTTCCCCCATCCACTTTGAAACAAGGTCCGATGATGATACACTGCACCAAAACAAATGTTATCTATGTCAAGTTTCTTGAGCGTGCAAAAAATCTTAAGAGAACATACCGCTTATAAAACAACAAACAAGCCTAGTCCCAAATCACAGGTGAGAAGTTGAGAACATATATATGTGCGTATGTATGGGCAAAATGATGCCTGGACAAATCATGTATGATGTTTCAGTATGAACATATTCACATGGGAAATGCACAGTGGTCAATGTATTTACTTACAGAAGAGAATCAGATATACTGAATGTGTTCCGGAGTGACTTATTTTAGTAAAATTGAAAAATTCTTTTATCAGTACACAGCACTTTTAATGCTTATTTAAGAAAGCAACAGATTTGTTGAGAAAAAACTGATTTAAAAAGTTCTTAAATGAGAAAAGCCTGATAAAAAAGTGCTTAAATGAGAAAAAACTGATAATAAGAACACATATACCATAAGTTATCCCAAACATGATCATTATCTGCACGAGTGCACGCAACTTAAAATTGCTAAATAAGGCAAGCCATCAAAAAAGATTCACATAATTGACCTATTACACAGAAATATAGGTTAGTTTGCTAACACAAAAGCAAAGACAGTGAATCAAATCTAAAACCAACCAAGTATAGAATCCAAAAGGACTACAGGAGAAAAACTAAATGACTTCATTCAAGATAAGATGAGTGTGCATTATAGACAAGCTAATAATAATTGCAAAGAACATTTTTACTACCCGCAAAATATAACCCTACCCCAGACAATCCCAGTTGTAGACATATACTGAACATAAGAGAAACAGTGAAGGAACTTAATAAGAAGCACAAATAGCAGCACTGGAAGAAGACAAGATATGTTCAACAATTTGACATCTGTAATAAGGATAAAGGATCTCAAGCCTGTTTGAGGGGGACTAGATAGGATTTACTTATAGCTGATAGGATTTATTTTGACAACTGGACTAGATACCACTTTTAGGTTGCACATAAGAGGGACATATGCCTGAAAAATGTTGACTCGGCTTCAGTAGCAACTGCCTTGGCTAAGTAGGACTTTCCTGTTCCAGGAGGACCATATAAAAGAAAAGCTCTCCATGGCCGTCTCTTGCCTGCAACAAACAAATCCAATGTTGTAATTTCATCAGAGATTCTCCAGTGAACACCTAAACATATCTTGCACTTTCTAATCTTATAGTAGTAATATACATAAATAGCTAATGCAAAATATAATAACATATATACTGCTTCCCCCATACTTTATTATTTCAATGGGAAAATACATATTTACATATAATAAATGAACAAATTAAATCAATGTCGGGAATGCCTAGTTCAGGCGAGGCATAAGCCTACTCAAAGACCATAGATAAAGAGAATATCTAAAAATTATAATTAACAGATATGAAACTAGTAATCTAAATCAAAACTGGAACACACTCGAATGCATCAAGTTAATGGTTTTCAAAATTTAAAGCATATAGCTTCAAAAAATCAATACTTAGCGCATAGCTAGCTTTAAATTACTAACTAAATTACAATTTACTGGATCAGGATGAAATACATGAGACGTAAAACTCAGATAGCCCCACCTTAAGAGGCATAAGCTACATATTTTTCAAATTGAAGCTTAGACCTAGAGACAATTTTTCCATTCTAACCTCGAGATATTTTCACAACATTGAAGTAATATACTTTTGGAACAACAAAAACAAAGTTAAAGGAGTACTGAGTACTGACATCCTAGTAGGTTTGTGTCATGTTTAATGACAATATGACGTACATGTTAATTTACAATACCAATCTTGTAATGGGACGTGAGATACCCATCAACCGTGTTGTGATATTTTCCATGAAAGTGGAAAGAGCCTATGCTATAACTTATGAAGAACAAGCTCGTCTAAGAAGATGAAGTTGTTACGGGCGAGGTTGGGAGATGAAAATAATAAGATTGAAAAGTATGGAAATTGGAAAAATAACACAGCTTCCTGCCCTGCCCTAGGCAAGGAAGTATCTATCGGTTCCACTGAGGGCACAAGAAAAATTGTTTCTCCAAAAGATTGATGATCTTATTAATGAATATAGCACCTCTATTTATACAAATCCCAAGAGTTTAGGTGGTTTAGTATTAGAGTAACCATAATTCTATTACAATACTTCTATTAGGAATAATAACTACTCCCTTTCCTTTTCTGGACATCTCATATAAAGGTTCTCATTTCTATTTTAGGAAACAATTAACACTCTTAAATGATAATTTAATCACCAAATATTAAAATAATACATCCATAATATCACAGTTATCATCTATTTCTAAAAATATACTCGAATTACCTATTTTAGTTATTGTCTAGATAACCATGCCATTTTACAATGGGACCCTTTAAGCGGGACGGAGGTAGTAAAATAGAATATCTATATTCTATACTAATACGAAACTGCAACTAATAATAACACTAGGAAACTAACAATACTACTTAAGGAAACTAATAATAATGAATAATAATAGTAATAGTAATAAATTAATAATAATAGTAGTAATAGGCTTCTTATGTCCATATTTGAATCAATCATTTAAATTAAAATTATCAAACAGTCACACACATGGGTACAGTGACACACATATAAAGTTGTCATCTTGTCACATCTGTGATACATACTAATTACAACAATGTTATTCCACATACAAATATCATTTGTGCTTTACAAATGACAACATTAAAAAATCATCTCGTGATTCATTTGTAAGGAGGTTGCAATATGAGAGACATCTGACATAAACCTTTGTCACGATACTTTTTGTACGAAATTACAGCGTTAAGTTATTGTCTAATTTCAATAAGTTAATAAGACTATAAATTCATGTCACCGACCGTAAAATACTTGAGATTAAAGTGCATGACAATGATGACGAACAACAAAGTAGGTACTGATTTGATCTCATGGGAACAATTAATTGTGTTTTGAATTCTAGTTCCAAAAGGACCAAAACTCACCATAAAGTGTGTGCATCCCATATGCAATGATCTTTACCAAAACCAGATAAGTTTGCAAAAAAGAGTCATGGGCTAGTATGGGAGTAGTTCAATTTTGATGGGTGGAGTGGACTATGGAACTGAAGACCATGTGCTCTGTATTACTATTTTATGTGACCAGTCACATCATGCCCCTTGAACACATATGGGTGGAATATAACTAAATATGTGATGAACGGCTGGAGGGTTGCGTACTTTTCACTCTCGGAGACCAACATATATTATTCCAGAGAATGAGAATTGAGAAGCATTAACTCGTTTATTTTAAAAAAATGTTCTGTACATCACTATGAAAAAAGAGTAGAACCTGGGAATCTGCTAGAAAGAAAGAGAAGTCAAGAATATAATTAGGAGAAACCATCTAATATGAGGATCACCGGGATAAAAGACAGAGTAAGCCCGAGAGGTGGAGACATTGTGCCCATAGGTGGCGTGGCCACCGATGACATGCATGAGAGAGAATGAACTGCCTGTCTCTTGAGAGAAAATAGTGTATTTCTGAATGACATAGCAAGTGAAAGAGAAAATGAACAAAGCGTGGAACTAGATAATGCCAGTACAGTAAGGATTTTAGGGCTTCTTACCAATATGGACTGCTCCTTAAGATCACATGCTTCTAGTACTCATATGCTCTTGCACAGCACTCTCCATGTGTTAAAAGTATCCAATGTGAAAGAAGCCAAGAAGTCAAAAACACTCTTGACAACCATAATCATATATTTCAAGATAATACTACTTTTTATCTTAAAATTTATAAGCAAGCATAAGATAATGACTCACTAAACCCCCTTATATGTCAAAAGGAAATAACCCCCTAAAGCTTAAAACCAAAATGGGATGGTTAGTCCAGTACCCAACGCTACACACAGAAGTACTCCTAAGAACCTTTACACCTACGACTTGCTCAAGAAACTGAGCTGGCATAGTCGCATCTATATCAAAAGGGCAATGAGCACTTGAGGTATGTGGGTCACAAATCACCTGACAGCTAACAAAAAGTCAATCTTGCTCCAAGCAAACCCATAACATATTCACATAACTCATGTCATTGGAATTTTAAAGAAGGTGATCATCATAGCTGAAGCCAACCCATGTATCTAAAGAAGAGCTACTTCATATATTATATACTCCGTATAACATATACCGGTAAAAAGAAATATTTATAAAGCACGGAGCTTCAACAGCAAAACATGGCTGCTTAAAGACACCTGATCAAAAGAAGCAAGCTGAGATTAACCATGCAACAATATAAGGCCTCACCTGTGAAAAACTGAGGAAACTTGACTGGTAAAATCACAGCCTCCTGCAAGGCCTGCTTGGCGCTCTCGAGCCCTGCAACATCATTCCACTTGACATTAGGCTTCTCCCGAACGATAGCTGAATTCAATCCAGCCCGGAGCTTAGCCTGATCAGGATCCTCCCCATCCTCCCCGTCCTTTGGCTTAGTCTTTGGCTTGGCGGCCACAGCAGCATCTCCGCCGCTGGAAGCGGGGCCTGTACCACCCTCATCAAGGACGGCTCGAATCTCTTCTGCCCGGCGCAAGTACTCCGTGAACTTGTGGGTGATTGCCTCCTTGATCTTAGGGTTCTTCTCGTACTTGAGGTGGGTCTTGAAGTATTCCAAAGCATTCATGTACAGCGGGAACGCTTTTGCATAGTTCCCCGCATTGTCCTCTTGCACTGCTTGTTTCACGTACTCGATCGCCTGCTCTTTGAAATTACTATACATCTTCAGACTATACAAATACACACATGAATGGATACAGTGAGAAATCAAAAACCCTACAAACTGATCAATGCGGAAGGGAGAGCTGCGTTAAAAGATTGAATAGAAATGTGAATACGTGAAAGTTAGGGCCAAAAGTTTGGAGATGATCGGCTTTTGAATGTTGTGTTCGGTGTGTGACTCAGTGACTCTCAGGGCCAGCGCCCTACTATGCGGGTTTGTTCAGCTCTTAAACAGACGTTTGGTAGCCCTATTTTGAACATGGAATCATTTCTCTTTCTTCTTTTATTAGGCAAGTCTGGTCTCATCTTGTTTGATGTAGTAAATGTCTGGTCTCTGTATTTTTTATAATTATGGAAGTTTGCTCTGATTTGGTTTATTTCAATTTGATCTGGTTTGATTTGGTTTATTTAAATTTGATCTGATCTCATCTGTTTATGTTTGATCTGGTTTCATGGGCGGAGCTAGGGGTGGGCCAACCTAGGCCATGATGGTCCATCCCAAATTTTAAAAGAAAGAATGGCACAAGTGTTACTCCGGCACTTTTTACATGACAGAGTAAAAGAAGAAGCAGTGGGGAGGAGGAGAAGGAGGAGGAGGAGAAGCAGAAGGAGGAGGAGGAGGAGCAGAAGAAGAAGAAGCAGCAGCAGAAGAAGAAGAAGAAGAAGAAGAAGAGGAGGAGGAGGAGGAGGAGGAGGAGGAGGAGGAGGAGGAGGAGATGAAGCAGAAGGAGGAGGAGGAGGAGGAGGAGGAGGAGGAGGAGGAGAAGAAGAAGAAGAAGAAGGAGGAGGAGATGAAGCAGAAGGAGAAGGAGGAGGAGGAGGAGGAGGAGCTAGGGATGGGCCAACCTAGGCTGTGAGGCTGTGAAGCAGAAGAAGAAGAAGAAGAAGGAGGAGGAGGAGGAGAAGCAGAAGGAGAAGGAGAATGAGGAGGAGAAGCAGAAGGAGAAGGAGAAGGAGAAGGAGCTAGGGGTGGGCCAACCAAGGCCCCGTGTTTTTCCAAAAATATCACTTAATTCGACGGCAAACTTACGCTTCCTATGCCCTGTGAGGCTGTGACTCGTACTTTGTTGGGACTGTTTAGCTACCCCTCTTCTACGATACAGATCTACCAGAGAGGTGCCAGTGAAGGAGACGACCAACGATGACTTCATCCCAGCCAAAGCACATCGTCGATGTCTTCGTCACAGATAGGCTCGTCGCCGTCGGTGTCCTCGTCGCAACCAACCGCCGCCGCCGCTGGTGTCCTCGTTGCAACCAACATGTGCCAATTTTCCAGATCTGTACTTTTCTTCTTCACCTTACTCTAGCCGAGATCGATAGTGACGAACAAACCTCTGTGAAGACGGCTACAAGGACATGGGGCTAGAGTTTGGCACTTTGGCTACAGGGGCGACGACTTGATGCGACAGTTTGGCGGTAGACGTTGGGGCTTCAGGCTTGAGCGGTAAAATGGCAAGCATGTCGTGGCTGGGTTGATCGGAGCTACATCGAGATGCAGAGCGGGGGCTGAGTTGGGCTAGTCGGAGCATGAACTGGGAGGTTGGATGGGGGCAGGTCAGGGGCTAGATAGGAACAGGGGCTGGGGGTTGAGGTGTTGGCCGCTGGAGTGTGGGGATGGGGAAAGGCATGGGTAGATGTCAGTGACGGTGGGATGGTGATGGTAATTGGGCGGTGTTGGTGGCCAAAGATGGTGGCCGACGCCGACGACATGAGATGGTGGTCGACGGCGATGGTCGGTGGCGGCGGTAGGGTACCTGCGATGGTGGAGAGTGGTGGTGGCCGGCGATGGAAGGTCTGGTGGTGATTATAGTGACATCGACGGTGGCTACAGTGACACATCGACGGTGGCTACAGTGACACCGACGGTAGTTACAGTGATACAGATGGTGGCTACAGTGACACAGACGGTGGCTATAGTGACATAAGCGGTGACTATAGTAACATGAGTAATTGGCGAACGGGTAACTGTAACTGGCGAGTCATGTAATTGTAACTGGCGAAATGGGTTAATTGTAGCATGTGGGTCGGGTAAGTGAGTAACAGTAACTGGTGAATCGCGTAATTGTAAGTGGCAAGTCATGTAACTGGTGAATCGGGTAATTGTAACCGGCAGATCATGTAACTCTAACTGGCGGCACGTCACCGAATAAATTTAATCGGAGGGAAGGATATAAAGTTCAATTTTTTTGGTCTGCCTAAACATCTGCACCGGAAAAGTGGAAATGAAGAACAAGAGTGAAACGTGATTACCTGGGCATGTGAAATAGTTCATTGCATACGGAGTATTAATTTATTAAGGAGGGGCATATTTGATAATTCCATTCCAAAGTTACTAATAGATGATACGCATGGTTTCATTTTTGGAAATTATTGAAAGAGGTCATATATTTGTCCAAACACTTTTAATTAGTAATATTCATGACCTAATCCCATTTTAAAAATGATTTCACATAATGCCACTACATTGTACCACTACATTGAAATGTGCAGCACAAATGGTACAATGTAGTGGCATTATGTGAAGGTAAATTGTGCATTAGGTGAATTTGAAATGTGCACTATATGAAACTAAAACGTGTAAAATAAAAGGTACGATGTGATGTTATTTTTGTACCTTTTATTCTGCACATTTCAGGTGAATTTGAAATGTGCACTATATATAGATCAGAGATCAAATACAAATCATGCTTAAAATACTAACCTACAAACTCCATAATATGCATAACTTTGAACTTCAATATGCAGTAAAAATAAAGTAAAGATGCAGGGGTGAGATCACATACAAACCAGTCCTCCCATTCAAATCATCTTTGCATTATTTGTATTGCACATTGAAGTTCAAAGTGTTTCATATTATTCAAGCCATAAAATAGCAATTTCATGTTTACATTATTTGTATTGCATATTGAAATTCAAAGAGTGCATCTTTACATTATTTGTACTGCATATTAAAGTTCAAAGTGTTGCATATTATTGAGTTTGTAGGTTAGTAAGTTAAGCATGGTTTGTATGTGATCTCACCCCTATATATATATATATATATATATATATATATATATATATATAGGGGATGGTTCAAATACAAAGACCTCTTCCTATGCAAAGTGAGAATGAATCTTATGCATTCATTTCCACATCTAATGGCTAAAAATGAGCCAAAACTGCACAAAATTCGACCAAAATCGTGGGGGCAATTTCGTAAATATGTTGCACTTTTTCGTTACCGCGAAAAAGTGCAACAGAAACACGCAAAAGTGCAAGCGAAAGATGCAAAAGTGCATATCTTCGCACTTTGCACGGGAAGAGGTCTTTTTATTTGAACTCTTCCCTGTATGTATATGTGTATATATATATGTATATGTATATATATATATATATACACACATATATATATATATATATATGTATATGTATATGTATATATATATATATATATATGTATATGTATATTTATATATATATGTATATGTATATGTGTATATATATGTATGTATATGTATATGTGTGTGTGTATATATATATATATATATGTGTGTGTGTGTGTGTGTGTGTGTATATATATATATGTATATATATGTATATGTATATATATATATATATATATATATATATATATATATATATATATATGTTGGGAATATTTTATGGTGTCCAATTCAATTAAATATCTTTGTATTTGTGTAGTTATTAGCTCAATGTGTAATATGGGCCACAAATGTATGTTAGCCCATTAGCCCACTTGTAAGCCTTAAGTTAGACATCCTTATGTATAAAAGGATGCTAACTTAAGCAAACCCTAACTCTCGCATAAGCCTCAACGCAGATATCATTTTTAGTGAGAAGGGAGAAAAACGCCGTTCATACCCTATTCTGTATTTCGACATCTTTATTGGTATTGAATCGGATCATCGTTTCTTCTGTACTCGTTATATTGTTTGTATGATTGTTGATTGATATTGGGACTAACATTTGGTATCAGAGCCGAGGCGTGAAACAGGTTGAATCTATCTGCGAATTTTCTGATTTTACGAAGAACTGCTCTGCTTTTCTTCTCATTTTCTTTGATATAGATATTTGCTCCTGTTATCTTGTTTGTTAACGAAAATTTGTAAAAGTTATACCGTTGGGATCGCCCCTGAAAAACGATCAAGCAGTATATCGTAGTTTTTGATTTTCACAATTTTTCAGTTTAGAAGATCTCGATACTCAGATCTCGAGATCAATTTTTTTACAGGCTGTGTTTAGTATTTCGAGCTGAAATTTTCACAGGAGGATCTCGGCATTCAGGAGTACAGGATACAACTTTCAGTTTTTGAAAAATGAACATTTCGACATTTTAAGATCTCGAGATTTTGATATTTCGACATTTTAGGATCTCGAGATTTTGAGCTTTCGACATTTTAAGATTTCGAGATTTCGACATTTTAAGATCTCGAGATTTTGATATTTCGACATTTTAAGATCTCCAGATTTTGATATTTCGACATTTTAAGATCTCGAGATTTTGATATTTCGACATTTTAGGATCTCGAGATTTTGAGCTTTCGACATTTTAAAATCTCGAGATTTTGATATTTCGACATTTTAGGATCTCGAGATTTTGAGCTTTCGACATTTTAAGATCTCGAGATTTTGATATTTCGACATTTTAGGATCTCGAGATTTTGAGCTTTCGACATTTTAAGATCTCGAGATTTCGACATTTTAAGATCTCGAGATTTTGATATTTCGACATTTCAAGATCTCGAGATTTTGATATTTCGACATTTTAGGATCTCGAGATTTTGAGCTTTCGACATTTTAAGATCTCGAGATTTCGACAGTTTAAGATCTCGAAATTTTGATATTTCGACATTTTTTAAAGAAAAATTATATAAAGGAACGAGGGGCAAAATTGTCTTTTGAGCCCCGCCGAATTTTGCAGCATCCGTGTCCGCAGGTCGCCCGCGCAAGAGGGGTGCGAATTTTCGAATTTGAACTGAAAGCCGAAATCCCATGTGTGCGAGAGCTCCTCTCTTCTCCTTCACCTTTTAATACTAAGAAATGAGTGATTCATATATATAGGCTCAAAAGTTTCCAAGGAGTTTAGGTGTGGGATTGCTTAAAAGATTCCTTTTCTCCCCACACTTGGATAAGTACATTTTTTTATAAAAAAACTCCAACTTCAAGAGCTATATTTTGAGGCCATTTCAACTTTTGAGCTCAAATCTTCAACACCAAAGATCAACCTTACGATCAAAGCTTCCAAGAGTCAACCTTGAGATTAAAAAAAAATTAATTATTAATTAATCAATTAATTAATTAGTTAATAAAAAAAAATCTCAAGGTTAAGACTATTTTTTCTCAAGGTCCAAACCATTTCAAGCTCCAGAAAATTGCAGAAACTTCAATCAACCTCACGTCTACGGTCAACATTCAACAATCAACAACAATGGACGCTATATCTCCTTGTTTATGTATTTGTCAAACTCATTCTTCAAAAGATAAGGACAAAATTATCAAGGAATTGGAAGAGAGATTAGCAAATAATCACAAAGTCCTACTGAAGCAGCTGGATAAGTCCACCTCATTGAGTATACAATTGAACAATTCCAAAGAAGAGGTTCATAAAATAACTTTGGAAACAGAGAAGCTGACTCTGAAAATAGCTGATCTAACAAAGGAGTTGAATCAGACCCACATAGAACTAAGCACAACAAAAGCTGATAACGATTTTCTTCAAGATAAAAGAAGTGCCCTTTACCGTAAGATCAAAGATCTTGAAGACTTACTTGCTACAACGGGGCAGACAGAACAAACAATCTTCTTGAACCAACCCAAAGACACCCGTTTCTATAATTCTAAAGAAGGACTCAGTCTGTCTAACCCATGTAATTTGAAGAAGGTGAACTGTGCTCAACTGTATGAAATCAATTATATGGGTCTTGGACTGACTAAGTTGATGTCTTTCCTCAGTGTTAAAGAAACGAATGATGAAGAAGATGTCAAGAGAGCTAATCTCAGAACAGAAATTCCTTTTGATTATGCTGCCTTGAACGAGAGCTATGAAACAAAAGAGCCCCTGTTGACTCCTCCTGAAGAGATTCCAACCTTTTACCCCACAAAAGAGACTGTGCAAGATCAAGGGGAACCTTCAACTTCAGAGCTTGTAGCCAAACCAGCATACATTCCACCTCTTGTGAGAAAGTTTGCTGAATTGAAAGAAGCTTTTGATAAAGAAAAACAAGCTTTTGAACTAGAAAGAGAACAACTCTTGAATGAAATATCTTTACTCCAAATATCCTCTCAATCAAGCACAGGCTCACAATCCCCTTCTCCTCCATCATCTAAAAACTGTGCTTCGCCTTCTCCTCCGTCTTCTGAGAACTGTTCTGAAAAATATACAAATGATCCTGAAACTTCCAGTTCTCACCCTGAGTCACCTTCACCGACAAGGGCCCTTATGAAGAGGAGAGTGGAAAGGAGAGGAGAATGGATAGAGGACAAGTTAAGAAGAAGAAAGAAGGAAGAAGAATCTCGTCTAAGAGATAGGAACTGGGGTTCAAGTGCTCTTTTCTATGCCAAAAGGAAGACATCTCCTAAGAATCACTACTCAAGCTCTTCTACTCAGAACTATATCAAGTCTTTCATTCAATGCTGCTCTGAGTCTGATGCCTCCTTCACTCAAGATCAGAATGTGAATGATCAGGGAGTCCAAAAGAAATCCGCTTCCGCAAAGGTGAACGTTGAGGGAGAGTATACACTACCATGTTTGAAATATCCCCTCAAGGTTCACTCACTCAAACATTTGAGAAGACTCTCTAAAGAACCAATTCTCAAAGACTACTAATCTGATCATTCACTCAGTGATAATGAAACCTCTCCTGCTCAAAAGCTCAAACAAAAATGGCTTCCTAAGAGTGAAGCTGAAAAATTAAGAATGTCAAACTCCTCTCAGTCAGCTAGCTTAGGATCCCAGATTAAACAGAAAGTGAAAGAGTTGTTCGCTACTGCCAAGGAAGGACCCATCTGGAAATGGGTACCGAAACATACTTAATATGTGTTGAAGGTCCGTCATGTGTGGTAACTGATCCGATTGCTCCACACACATGGCGGGTATGAAGACGAGCCGTGAGCAATCAATTGGTGCACATTATCAAGGAGAGTACTGACGTGAATACTCTCTACTAAGTTGAAAATCAACAAATGCACACCTCAACACCAACAAACGCCATGTGCTTATTCTGAGGGGGAGTGTTTCTTTTTCACTCCTCTTGGAGCCAAACAACGAAGAAAGCACATTCCAAGGGGGAGTTTTCTACTTTACTCCCCGGGTAGAAACAACACAACTTGCAACTTTTGAGGGGGAGTTTCATTTTTGTTCTCCTGGTGCTAGACAATGTAAAATGCAAGGATTCTCTCAAGGATGTGGATTTTAAGGGGGGCTTCAAAGTTCTCCTCTCAAGCGCCAACCATCGTGGAAGGCATCCTACTGAGTGCTCCAATTGAGGGGGAGTACAGAAAGAAAAGAAAAGAACAAAGAGAAATGAGAGATAAGTCCCAATGGCTTAGTAAACCCAACTAAGCCTACCCAAGGGACAAAGCCGACAGTGAGTAACTGAGTGAACACTATGAGAGTGAGGAAGCAGAAAGCTCAAGTGAGCAAGAGAACAATAATCATTGTCGAATCTGCTACCTCTATTGTGCTATCAATCGAGAGAATTACTCTCAGTCACTCAAATACTCTGGACAATCCCCATAGGTTCAGGAATGAATTTATTCAGATCCCGGGTAGAAGTCGCTGCATTTTGTCCAAACGGCGCATGCACAACCCTACCTAAGACCACTCACCTGTCTCCCAACAGACATGTATTTAATCATATTTCACGAGAAAACTCATCTCTAATCACCGTCTCCTTCTGAGGCGACTGATACTGACTACAGTGTCCCACAGCCCCACGCCACTGAACATTCATTGATCACGTCGTGTCTAGTAATCTCACTCCCAAATGTTTTGAATTTTGTAGGACACAGACACTATTTAAAGTCAGTTGGAGGTCTTCATGACCCGCGAGAACTTCCATAGGGATCATCTACTATAGATGAAGACCAATGATTGGAAGGAAGTCCTGTTGTTGCAACACAGAATTCACCAACATGTTCAGGCCATCGCTTCAGAGTTTATCTCTATAGTGATGATAACGGGCGTCATCACGACCCCGGGGGACTACGTTATTTTTGTTGATCGTTATGATCATGCCATAACAACCAGAGTGACATCTACTTTAGATGCCTCACAATGACTGGTTGGAAGTCCTGTTAGAGCTTTAATGCTTCTATCATTTTTATACAGGCCACACGTCAGTGTTTACATTGATGTTGTGATAACGGAACACCATGGTGTCTCCGGTGTTTACCTTTTTTTTTGTTTTTTCTATTTTGTTTCACAGAATAAAAGAATAAAGGCATGACGCCCCGATTCATCAGATCGTCATGAGGGGGAGAGTGGTCCGCATGCTGTTTACTCTAAAAAATCATTCTTGGACACTTCTCCTCCAACACAAAAAACGACGACAAGTCAGCTTCACATCAAATGGTCAGCTACGCTCACAAGTCAATCATCATTTTCCGCTGTGCAACCGACTGGTTCTCCTCAAAAGCATTCACCTCAAATAATCAAAAAGGCTACATTGTGGAGGAGACAGAGGTCAGGTAATCAGAATCCCATGTGCGTCTGCAATTCTTCAAGGACATTCATTCTAGAGGCGCGCCACCGGATTTAATCCAAGCTGATCAAGACCAACCTTTGGAAGGCAAGGACTACATGCAAGACACTGAAGATTCCTCAACTCTGGCATCAAAGATCAAATTGCCAAGAAGACATAAAAGGGGAGATTGCTAGGATTTCTTCAGAAAGCCCTCTAAAGAAGTCGAGTTCAACAAGAAGACAAAGGAAGCTGAGTTCCACTGAAGATCAAGACAAAAGAGGAGCAACTCAACAGATTTTATATATGCTCTCCTCTACATTGCTGAATAAACACAAAGACAAAGATATCTGCGCTGCAATGCTAATTGAACACGATTGAACACCAAGGGGGAGATTGTTGGGAATATTTTATGGTGTCCAATCCAATTAAATATCTTTGTATTTGTGTAGTTATTAGCTCAATGTGTAATATGGGCCACAAATGTATGTTAGCCCATTAGCCCACTTGTAAGCCTTAAGTTAGACATCCTTATGTATAAAAGGATGCTAACTTAAGCAAACCCTAACTCTCGCATAAGCCTCAACGCAGATATCATTTTTAGTGAGAAGGGAGAAAAACGCCGTTCATACCCTATTCTGTATTTCGACATCTTTATTGGTATTGAATCGGATCATCGTTTCTTCTGTACTCGTTATATTGTTTGTATGATTGTTGATTGATATTGGGACTAACAATATACATTGTATATATATATGATGACGAGGGCCCCACTATTAGCACCATTAAAATGTGATATATAAAGATGTTTTTCAAAGTTTTTGAAATTCTTTTTACACTGTCAACATGTATGATTGTTTTTTTTATAAAGTTTCATGAGAGCCACAAATAATTGTTTTTTCACAAATAATTGTACTATCAACATATTTCACTGTCACGTAGAGTTTATTATTTTTTCACATAGAGCTTATATGGTGACAAATTATCCTTTATGTTAATTTTCTTGCAATTTTTCATACGATTTAAATTTTTCTACAACAACTACTACTACATATACAATAAAAGTTACAATATATAAACTCTATGATAAAAAGAAGGCTAAATGGTCAAATAGGCCCTCGAACTAAATTAAAAAGTGCAAATCCCCCTTATATAGGAGGCTCTGTCCAGCCGTCGCCATTTGGGGTGGTTCCCGGTGGGATTTTTTGATGAAAGTTTTTGAGCATCTTCTTCATTAAGTCTAGTTTACCCATACTGAATTTCAGATAAAAATTCAAGCAGAAAGACAGCCAAATGATTTTCTGAAATGTACTGCGCTATTTTAATAAGCAAGGATCCTTTCCATAAAGCATATATCCTTTTATGGAAATAGTGGTTTAATTGCATGTCTGTTTTCTGAAAGGATCCTTGTTTACTTGAATATGATTGCATGACTTAATATGAGGTGATTTAATAGTGGTCCGTTGCATTCCTATTAAATCGCCTCATATTTAGTCATGCAATCATATTCGAGTAAGCAAGGATCCTTTCCATAAAGCATTAAGCTATATTAATAAATGGATGCCAAGTCATGCATGGAAAGAAAATAAATGATTCATGTTATGTACGTATAGAATATGCATGAAAATATTGTAGCTTAAAATAGTGATCCTCACAAGTAGGAGGCTTATTTACACAGGTGGTCACATAAGCACATTAATTCATACACTCGTACAAGGAAAGCACTTGTCAATTAATTTATACAACATGTAAGTAAACCATTCATACAGAACAGAATCAAGGATAGTTCTGTCTTCCGTTTCTCATGGAACTGAGAGCGGTTCTGTCCGCTGTTCTATATGCATGGTTAGTCATCAACAAAACCACATAGTCAACAAATTCCCCCTTTTTGTTGATGACAAACATTAGGTGTCATAAAAATGTCCCTACAAATTAGTAGTCGGCAGTAGCAGTTTTAGAGTAGCATCAAAACATAAAGAGGCACCTGATTTCCCCCTTTTGTCATCAAACAAAAGGAATCAGGAAGAATCAAAATAGTGCTAATGTAAAGTGTGAAAGAGAGTGTGATAATGTATAGTGAAATCCCATAAAAGTTTAAACAAATGTATGATTACTCCTCGTCAGAAGAGGAGATGATCCTCCTGCGCACACCATCAGTGGATTCATCAAGCTTTCCAAAGACTTCACTCTTGAACGTCTGAAAGTCATTGCGGATGATACTATGGAACTCAGCCAGTTGGTCCACTCGTCCTGCCAGGCCAGTGATAGATTCAGATAGAGATTCAAATTGCCGTAGTAAGGCCCGCTCCATTAGATAGAGTTGGTCCTTAACCAGAGACACAATTTTCATAGGGTCACTGAGAGGCGACAGGAACATGTTTAGGCTTTGGTTTAGAAGGCTTTTGTTCCGAGGAGGTAGGGATAGATTCTTTGGGCACAAGCTTGGAATTTTGAATGATAATGCCTAAATTGTTTAATCCCTAAATAACCGTTAGCTTGCTAGAGACTTGAGAGGGAAGATCATCAAGAGGAATTTCCTTTTACTAGAACAGGAGAGTGAGGAGAGGACCATACGGGATACCATTGTTTCTGGAGGTAGCGCTAATGGTGAAACTTAGGTGAGCGAACATAAGGCCCGGGAGATTGATAGAGACTTTATTTGCTAGGAGGTACATGTATGCCAACTCAACATGAGAAGGTGACTAACGACCCTCAAGCCTAGGAACTAGATTATGATGAACAAAGTAGAACATGAGTTTATGGACAAGAGACAGACTTCCAACGTGTAAGGACAGACCAGTGATAGTGGGGTCAAAGTATTGTAAGGCGGTTGTGTGTGAAACTTGAGACAAGGGCCATTCCTTGTTGTCATATGGACAATCACCAGAACAAGGAATACCAAGCACAGAACCTAAGTCATCAGTATAGTCCTTGACCCATGACTCTAGAAGACAGGACATTGTTCTCGATGATTAAATTAGCCAAAAATTCAGCCGTGCATTCTGGGTAGACAGGGAGACAGTGTTTGGATTCGAAAGGAGTACTCCATTTTTGGAAGGAGATGAGTTCAAAAAAATTTGAGGTTACAGTAGAAAAATCGTCAAAGGGAATGGAGATTACCTTGACAAACCCTCATTTCAGATAGACCTCTTTGAGTGTTGCGGCATCCTCTTCAGCCACCTTTCCCAACATGGGGTATTGCTTGATGGCCGCCTTTTCGGAGATGATTCTCATCGCAATAGCTTTCCTCCTTGTGAATTTCTTGGGCAGTGCCTTCCTTTTCTTGAGCATTCGGTCCGGATGAGTCTTGGGCGGAGAAGAGTCTCCATCTTCGGATTGTCCCCCTGAGAAGATGGTGAGTTGTTGACCGACATGGGTGTTGATTTGGACTCAGCTTCAGCGGCTATGGAAATTTTCGGGCTTCCTCCCATGATTGGAGATATAGGTTCAAGGTTGATATGTATCGGAGAGGAGGAAGATAATTTTTTGGGTGTTCGATTTCGACTTGAGCGGCGGAGTGCGGTTGGGGGAGCACCTCCTATGGTTTTAACCATGGCTAGAGAGAGATGGTTATAGGAGGGTGACTTTTGGAAAGTGAAACGGCCAAGAGGATACTTGGAAACCGAATTGATAGCGGGAAAGTGAATCCGTATGATGTGCCTCAAAATGTGAAATAAATTATCCATTTTTTTAAAATATGTATACCAAAAATAAGTGGGACTCACGATATAAGGAGTAGGAAATTAAGCAGTAATTAGCAAAAGTGTGCCGATTAGCCTACTGAGAAAAATTGAATCCTTTCCTATATGCTATTTAGGAGAGCAACTTACCTATAATTAGTGCCTGCTTATTTAGGAGATTAATCAACTTACCTATATGCTAATTTAAAGCATGAATTGAAAAGTAAGTGATTTTTGGAAGTAAAACTGACAAAGATAAGGCAAATAATTTAAGCATTGATTAGACCAAGTTCAAGTCTAATTAATTCAAACCTTTCTCTTCCCAAGGGCTTTGTTAAAGTGTCAGCAATTTGCTTATCAGTGTTGTGATATTCCAACTTGATTAATCCCTTTTCTATGCAATCTCTTAGAAAGTGTTGACGAATGTGGATATGCTTTGTCTGAGAATGCATGACTGGATCTTTTGAGATACTGATTGCACGTGTGTTGTCACATAAGACTGGCGTGCAATTAAAGGCAATCCCGTAGTCACTTACTTGTTACATGATCCATAATGATTGAGCACAATATGATGTTGCTGATACGTACTCAGCCTCAGTCGTTGAGAGAGAATCTGAGTTATGTTTCTTAAAGCCCCATGAAACTTGGCAAGGACTTAGGAAGTGAGCCATACATGATGTGCTTTTCCTATTGAGTAGATCACTAACCGGGCTAAACTTGCAAGTATACAAGTGCCGATATAGTAATAAGTTCCGGTAAAATACCTGGTCGAATCCACAAGGAAACGTTGTTTAATTCAAGTCCGAGAGTAGATAGCTTTAAATGAAGAAATGAGTAAAGTGCAGGGATTTTGATTTGTGTTTTATATTTTTGGTTTTTCACTTTTTGTTCAAGAAGATAATTGTTAACTAATTTTGAGTTTAAGATGAATAATAACAACAACTAAGGCTTTGGGAATCACTTAAATGCTTTAATAGGGTTGAATATTAGTTCTTTACCAATAATTATGAATAAGATGTCGCTAATATATTTTCAACTCCAGTTAAGGCAACGAGAGCGTGGTTTTCGTTATGTGTAAGTCCCGTTACGGATTACATTCATCTACCGAAAACCCCGTTGAATATCAAGACATCACACCTGTATCATATAAGACCGGAAATATTATTTCTATTCTCGGTACTATATACTCCCTCCGTCCCATTGGACTTTGCCAACTTTCCCTTTTTGGTTGTCCCAAAAAACTTTGCCACTTTCCTATTAAAGCAACTGATTTGTGGTTCTGAACATTTCTCTTTCCTCTGCACAAGTCTCAACCACACAATTTTTACTATTCTTATTTCTCACCTACTTTGCACTTGGCAAAGTCCACTGGGACGGAGGTAGTATGTTTATCCTTTAATGTTCATAGTTTAAACTTCAACGTTAATTGCAAGTATAAACTAAATTTAACATACTTCTATGTTGTACACCATAGTCATAAACAATCAATATATAAAGGATAAATCACAATTTATTGGTTTAGAACTTTTATCAAACACCTAGAGGGCATAGAAGTTCATCCCTATCCTTAGCTAAGAATTTAGCCTCTAATGCTCATATTAATTACAAAAGTGTAACTAAGAACAAAGAAGTAAAATAACATACAAGAAAAATTACCTAGAACCAATTGTAGAGGAGAGAAATGACTCCTTCCCCAAAGAACTTGAAGAACAATTGCAAGAACAAAATATAAAAACTAGGAATTAATCTATGGAATGGAATGTGTTTGTTTGATGAATTGAGGGCTTTATATAGGCTAAAGAATGACATCTTTTAGTCTATTCGAGCCCAACAATCAGGCATGGAGCAATATTTGATCAAGAAATGAAGAAGATGGAGTTTTCCCATAAAAAATCCTCTTGCACGTTGCTGTATTTTAGCAGAATCAGGCTTAACCGGCGCCGGTTATAGGCTAACCCGGCGCCGATTATAGGCTAACCCGGCGCCGGTTAAGTTTTGAACGCAGGTAAAATATGGAATTTTGGCATAACCGGCGCTGGTTATAAGGGTAACCCGACGCCGATTAGCTACTGGTTTGACATATATGTGCGAAAATCAAGAGACCAGCGCCGGTTTGGTGCAATTCCGGCGCCGGTTTTGTCCTGGGATTTTGGGGATATTATGCTACGAATTTGGACATGAATTCTTCACCTAAGTTGTAGACAATGAAATCTTCTATCCACCAAAACTTGAATGAAGTCGTTTCAATCATCCAATCAAAAGTTATGGATACAACGCTGAGAGGTATGCATCCTGAAATCCCACCAGCAACATCTAACTTTATTGGTTGATTTAGTCTTGATACTTTCATATTCTGGCCATAATGTCTTCATAACATTTGTACCTTATTGAGTTAAGATTCACATGAAATTCGAACCGAGTAATTTCGAGTTCTCTACAATAAGTTATACTCGAATTATGGGCAGATTGTCATCCTCTTGGTCCAAAAAGCTCTTCATCATAATGTTTTATGCTCTAGCTCTCATTCTGAAGGTATTTGCCCGATTTCTCTTCCTTTCTCCAACAAATACTAATAAATACTTATTTTAAACACAAGTAAATATAACGGCTATCAAACCCCCCCACACTTGAGCGTTGCTAGTCCTCGAGCAATGTTATCACTTTTGGATGCCTTGGTTAGTTTCAACAAAAATATATGAACAAAAATAATTTTAATTTTAAGAGAGGTAAAAAAAATTATGTAAACTCTTTTATCATTCTCGATCCAAAACCAAATTTCAATTAGACACACAAAACTATCATTAGATTTAGAAAAATTACTTATACCCTCGAGAGTAGATGAGTGGATTGTGACTAGGACTTTTTGGGTGTGTAGAATGGCTTTTTGGTGTGTTTGACTTTTCAGTATGGAAGTGGATCAGTTGAAATTCTTGAAAGAGACCATGAGTTTTTTTTTAACTCATTTGAATTGGTTCTCAACAGCAGTTACTGAAAGTCATTTTGATCATCCCAATTTATTTGATGAGATATGGGGGTGGCTTGTTTTCCAAAATGGTTCTTCAATATTTGAGATGTACTTAAACCATTTTTGGAAATGGAAGAAGATGGTGTTTCCTAGTCACAAGGTTTATTTAGGGAATGGTTTTCAAGAGTAAAGAGTAATGTAATAAATCTAAAAAAATGATAATTTTTTTTGTGAATAATCAAAACTTTCTAACCAAATACCCATTAAAAAGAGAATTATCACAACTTTTACCTTCCTAAAATAATTATTTTGTACATAAAATTTGTTGAACTAACCATGAGATGCACCCCCACACTTGAGATACATTGTCCTCAAAGTAGGTTGGAGAACGTAATTAAAGATGAAATCCTCGATAGTGGAACGAGGTGTTCCTGAGAGTAGGAAATCCATGATACCTCAGCTGAGATGATAATTTTTTTTTTATTTTTTTTTTTATTTTTTTTTTATTTTTTCATCAATTATAAATAAATACGAATATGTCTTTGTAATTTTGTTTTTGTTTTTGTAAATAAACATATTTATTCATAATTGATTCTTGTTCAATTATAAATAAAAATGATTATGTGTATAACTAACATATTTATTTATAATTGATTTTTTTTTGCTTTTTTTTTGGGTTGCCTCCCAATTAGCGCTTAGTTTAACGTCATAGGACGGATAAACGTACCTGTTTTAAGGCGGTGAATGTGATGCTTTTCTTGTGTAGAATTTGATCATTGTGCCTCCTTTCATCGGGTAGAGTTTCGGGAGAACTTTGTTGTTCGTTGGTGTGATCTCGAGTACATCTTCGGGTGTGTTGGAGGATCCTTGGGCCCAAATTTTTGTTCCTTCTTGATGTCCATGATGTTTATGGCCTTGAGAGGTGTGAAACGTTTGTGTTGTCCTCCATGTTTTGAGTTGAAGTGGATTGTGTCTTCCATACATGGAATGTTTCATCATTTACTCCAACTCTTAGCTTTACCATGCCCGCTTGTACATCAATGACGGCTGCGGAGGTGGCTAAAAATGATCTCCCAAGGATGACAGGGATCTCCATCTCTTTCATGTCCAAAACAAGAAAATCTACCGAGAAGTAAAATTTTCCAACTTTGACAAGAACATCCTCCATGATGCCTATTGGATAGCGGATTGTTCTATCCACTAATTGTAAGGCGACCATTGTTGCTTGGAGTTCCCCCACACTTATTTTTTAAAATAGGGAGTAGGGCATAAGATTTATGCTAGCACCAAGGTCACAAAGAGACCTTACCTCCCTGATTTTTCCAATAGAGCATGGAATAATGAAGCTTCCGGGGTCTTTTAGTTTTGGAGGAAGTTTTTTTTTGAAGGGGGAGATTGTTGAAGAATATTTATTGTGAATCATATTTGTCAAGAGTCTTGTATTAGTATAGCCTTTATTACTCCTTATGTATTTATTGTGTGTATTTATTAGAGTAGTAAAGGTAAAGGGGCCTAAGTTGTCACGCACATATACCTGGCTGAACAGCCTTTACGCAAACCTGCCTTAGCCTATAAATATACGCGTAAGGCTTAGGTTTGCGTTAACTTTTGCATTCGAACTATCAGCCTTAGCGCTCATCATTCTTTAAACAGTTCACGGTATATCAAAGAGGGTTTCACCGATTATCTGCTTCATATCATTATCTGATCCATTGTTTGTGTTACTGTAATATCATATCATTGCTGTTAGATATTTATCTCTGAATCAGGGACCATCATTTGGTATCAGAGCCGATCGAGAGTTCATCTGCGAAGAACTGCTCTGTTATTTTCGTTTTCTTTGACATCCTTGTATTTGCCTCTGTTATTTTGTAAAAGCTATACTGTTAGAATCGTCATCTTCTAACGATTCTACAACATAACTTATATTTTGTTTTCTCCAACTTTTAG